ACTGTTCCGAGCAAGTTACCATTACTTATGAGTTACCACCGTAATCCTTACGCCAACGTCGACAAGTTAGCACCTTTAAATCGCAACCACATAGCATCACAGTTAGTTGCAAAATTAATAANTAACAAACTAAANGAGATAGAGAAAAACGGTTCGCGCTATATTTCTCAGCACATCAAACTGCAAAATACCAGCCCGGTTTAAACATTCTAGGTTTTGTTTTTAATAATCAAATGTTTAGATAATAACATTTATTAAACTTCTATTACGTGGTATTTTGCATCTAACTAATACAAAACGAGATCCAAAAACCATTTTGCTCTAACTTGTACCGTTCTCGAAATATTCAATTTGTTAACTTTTACTCTTTGTCATAAATCGCAGAGTAGCCGATTGTGAAAGTACTTGCAAAATTAGTTTCAAGCTATCTGTTCTGATTCTTGAGATATCCGCGATTTGCAAAAAGAACTATGTATCGTTAAATGTAGAATATTAAAATAAGTCAAATGCATATATTTGTTATTCATAAGCTTTATTGTAAAACCGCGTTTTCGGGAACTTTCCAATCACCGAATTAACATAGGTTGTAAAATAATAGAAAGAAAATCTTCGTTGTGCGTGATTCGTCGCGTGAGGACTTGATGCGAGGCACTACCGTGCTTCTTGATGTTTCTCTCTTTCTCTAACTTTCTTCTTAAAACTTGTTAAACATCATCTGGTAACACAAATGTGAACATACACATTCCTGAGTGTTCCACGACGATGAAAACGGTTCTTAATCGTGATTTACACGTCTATTTTTCATCTTATTCATTATCTTCGTTCAGAAGCCACAAACACACAAAACGCAAGAATACTTTTTTTTGTAACGTTTCATTCTGAAGCAAATGAGACTAAAACGAAATTAATTGGTTCGTTCCTGAAAAATAGCCTTGTAAGAAACTTCCCATTCTCTCATTTACTGAATTTCGCGTATATAAAAGGCACGGTGTGCTCGCGCATTTCGAGCGCTACTTCGTTGCGCGTGAANTTGGCGCGAGGCACTGCCGTGCCTCTTGATAAAACAAGGTAACTACGAACTTAATTGCACATTTTTTTTGTTTTGTTTTCTTTTTTTCTTATCATATTATTTAGTTCAATTATTCAGTTTACTATCAGTTTAGTTCAGTTTAGTTCATATTATTTAGTTTAATTTTAGCGTTTATATTGCGCAACTTTATATACAAGCTGGGTAAATATATAGAAAAGGTCACCCTTCTCTGATTACAATGAGCTTGACATTTGTTGTCAAAGACATCTTCCTGAGTAACAATTCGTAAATTTTAGCCGTCGCTCGTTGTTACTAAAAAAGTTATGAACAATTGAAGTTTGAAAACTAAGGCTATATTATGATGTACCTACATATAAATATATATATAT